AAAGTTATTCTGGCCCACTCTCTCATATTAAGATTATGCAAAATTTATCACCCTTAAATACAGACCAGAAGAGTAGTGTCTTCATTACTATTTAAAACCATAAAGTTATTACCAGACAAGTGAGGAACAGAGTTAAATTCTTTGAGACAATGCTTCTAAGAATAAAGGAAATTCTTCATTTAATGTTTCAAAGTGAGCTTAAAGGAATTAAGAAATCAATGCAGGGGCGACGGGGTGGCTCAGTCAGTTAAGCGTCTGCCTTCAGTTCAGGTCATGATCTCAAGGTCCTGGGGTTGAGCTCCGCACTGGGCTCACTGCTTGGTGGGAAGCCTGCTTCTCCCTCTCCCACTCCCCTGCTTATGTTCCCTCTCTCGCTGTGTCTCTCTCTGTCAAATAAGTAAATAAAATCTTTTTAAAAAAATCAACGAAAACTGGAGCACCTGAGTGGCTCAATCGGTTAAGCATGGGGCTCTTGATCTCCTCTCAGGTCTTGATCTCAGGGTCATGAGTTCAAGCCCCATGTTGGGCTCCACGCAGCATGGAGCCTACTTAAAAAAAAAAAAAAAAAGAAACTACAAAAGAATAGAAATACAAACTACAAAAGGATACAAGAATACAAAAGAAAACAATAAAAACTGAAAACTTAAAAAAAAATCCAAAATGAAGACTAGAAGGAACCAAAAGTAAATATGCACAATGTATAACATCTGAAGTGCAATATAAGGTTAAAAGAAAAGGAAAGGGGGCACCTGGGTGGCTCAGTTGGTTAAGCGACTGCCTTCGGCTCAGGTCATGATCCTGGAGTCTTGAGATCTAGTCCCGCATCAGGCTCCCTGCTTGGCAGGGAGTCTGCTTCTCCCTCTGACCCTCCCCCTTCTCATGCTCTCTCTCTCTCATTCTCTGTCTCTCAAGTAAATAAATGAAATCTTAAAAAAAAAAAGAGTTTTTAGGGAAATTAGAAACGAAGAAAGAGATTAAATGTATTTGAGAGAAAGTAACAGATAAAGAAGCAGGGAAAGATGATCCAAAGCTAGAATCAAAACACTGAAAAGTCAAAGGACTGAAGCAGGAAAAAACCAAAACAAAACAAAACATGTGTGCCTGTGATTATAATAATCCAAGAAAACTTTTCTGAAATAAAAGATTTTTAAAAATTCACAAAAGAAAGAAAAGGTAAAGCAAAATGTTAAAAATTTAGACGTAAATTTAGACATAAATAGAAATAACAGCAAAAGACAATCATTAATAAGTGAAATTACAAAATCAGCAAGTGTTTTATGAAAATAGTCTGAAAGCAGAGGAATTGTTAATCTTCTAAAAATACACAGCCTCACAAAATTAAGTCTACTAGAAACAGAAAGTGAATTACGCTCTTTATAATCAAATGATCTAGTGTTAAATTTCCACAGACACAAAAATATCCGGCCAGATGTTTTCATAGGGAAAATTAACAAATGTTCTTGTTTTTCATGACCTTGACAGTCTTGAGGAGTATTGGTCAGGTATTTTGTAGATGTGCCTCTACTGAATTTGTCTGATGTTTTTCTCGTGGTTAGAATGGAGTTACAGGTTTTGGGGAACAAGATCACAGAGATAAAGTGCCATTCTCATCACTCCACATCAAGGATACACACCATCACTTCCTGCCACCGATGTAGACCTTGACCATCACCTGCCTGAAGTAGTGGTTCTAAAGCTGTTCTTTACCCCCCATTTTCATGGAATAGTCTTTGGAAGAAAATGGCTATACACAGGCCACTCTTAAGTAATTGGGATTTATGCTCCATTTTCCTAATAGCAAAATTTCTACATAACTCTTTTGGAATTCTTCTGCATGAGGGATATGTCTCTTCCCCCCAATTTATTAATTTATCTACTCTTTATATCAATGTAGATGCATAGATATTTATTTTATATTTTGGGTTATAACCTAATCCTATATCTTGTTCAGATTGTTCCAGATTTTACCATTGGGAGCTCTTTCATTGTGTCCCTTTGAGACACTACCATAAACAGTGTTCTGTTTTATTTTTTTTTAACTTAATTACATTTGGCTCTGCAAGTGGCTCCCACCTCATTTTGCATATTTTCTGTTCTAATTTAGTCCTAGAATCAGCCATTTTCTAAGGAACCCTGGTTTCTTTTATTGGACAACAATATTAGAAACCAAGATGTGGGCACTAATTGGGCTCACCGTTACAGATATATGACTCTTTTATGCTCTCTCAGCTGACCTAACAAGGAAATATATGTGTCTATACTAACATGTGTATGTACACATATCTATGTATATTTTTAGATGTGACTATTCATATCTATATTAAGATAAATACAGATGAAAGACCTGAATGTGAGACAGAGATCCATCAAAATCCTTGAGAACACAGGCAGCAACCTTTTCGACCTCAGCCACAACAGCTTCTTCCTAAACACATCACCAAAGACAAGGGAAACGAGTGAAAATGAACTTTTGGGACTTCATCAGATAAAAAGCTTTTACCAGCAAAGGAAACAGTCAAGAAAACCAAAAGACAATAGACAGAATAGGAGAAGATATTTGCAAATGATATATCAGATAAAGGGCTAGTATTCAAAATCTAGAAAGACCTTATCACACTCAACACCCAAAGAACAAATAATCCAATCAAGAAATGGGCAGAAGACATCAATAGACATTTCTGCAAAGAAGACATCCAGATGGCCAACAGACACATGAAAAAGTGCTCCACATCACTCGGCAACAGGGAAATACAAATCAAAACCACAATGAGATACCACCTCACACCAGTCAGAATGGCTAAAATCAACCAGTCAGGAAAGGACAGATGCTGGTGAGGATTCTTAGTAAGGGGAACCCTCCTACACTGTTGGTGGGAATGCAAGCTGGTACAGCCACTCTGGAAAACAGCATGGAGGTTCCTCAAAAAGTTGAAAATAGAGCTACTTATGACTCAGCAACGGCACTACTGGGTATTTGCCCTAAAGATACAGATGTAGGGGCGCCTGGGTGGCTCAGTGGCCTCAGAGGCCTCAGAAGGCCTCTGCCTTCGGCTCAGGTCATGATCCCAGGGTCCTGGGATCGAGCCCCACATCGGGCTCTCTGCTTGGTAGGGAGCCTGCTTCCCTCTCTCTCTCTGCCTGCCTTTCTGCCTACTTGTGATCTCTGTCTGTCAAATAAATAAATAAAATCTTAAAAAAAAAAAGAGATACAGATGTAGTGATCTGAAGGGGCATGTGCACCCCAATGTTCATAGCAACAATGTCCACAATAGCCAAACTGTGGAAAAAGCCTAGATGTCCATCAATAGGTGAATGGATGAAGAAGATGTGGTATATGTGTGTGTACACACACACACACACACACACACACAATGGAATATTATGCAGCCATCAAAAAATGAAATCTTGCCATTTGCAACGAGGTGGATTGAACTAGAGGGTATTATGCTAAGTAAAATAAGTCAATCAGAGAAAGATAATTATCACATGATCTTGCTGATATGTGGAATTTGAAAAAATAGGCAGAGGATCATGGGGGAAGAGAGGAAAAAATGAAATGGTACAAAACCAGAGAGGGAGACAAACCATAAAAGACTCTTAAACTCAGGAAACAAACTGAGGCTTTCTGGAGTGGAGGGGGGTGCAAGGTGATGGGGCGGTGGGTGATGGACATTGGGGAGGTGTGTGCTATGGTGAGCGCTGTGAATTGTGTAAGACTGATGAATCCCAGACCTGTACCCCTAAAACAAATAATACATTATATATTAATAAAATAAAAAGGTGAAAAATATGAATTTATTTTGCTGTCTCCAACTGTAATCCATTACTCTAGCTCCTTTCCTTGCTCTCTGTAAATTCCCAATCCAGCAGTGGGAAAGCTGACTCCTCTCATGCATCCTCCATTTACTCGATGCCAGTATACCTTATAAACAGTATCAGAATTGTTAAGCCAAATCCCTGTGGAAAATAACTTCATCAGTTAGAATACAGTTCTTGCATGCAGTTATTTTTGACTTTAGTCTTTTAGAACCCACTCAATTACAAAGTTCCTCAGTCAGCATCATTTCCCCGTTCAGTGAGACTGATTTTTATATTGATTACACAGTTAAATTTGCTTATCACAGCCTGCATGCCTTTCTAGGATCCTCTGACCTCCTAAATTATTTTTTTAAAAATTTTGCATGCCTTAAGTTTCAAACTATTTATGCTCTAAAGTTCTGTGGGTTTGACAAATGCATGTCCCATATCTACATTTACTGATAATTAGTAGGTAAATTATGATCTTACCTCTGAATGGACAGTTTTAATTTTTTCTTCCTAATCAGTATGTAGGAAAAATCTAGAATAAAAAGTATTTTGCTGGAAATGGCAGGAACCATCTCTGCTCTACTCATCAGATGAAATTTTTCTTTGGCTTTACCGTATGCAGTTGGTTTCCCTTTCCTGTGTCCCAAAAGCTTTAAATAGGAGATTTTTATTTTGTTTTGCATTTTAGTATAAAGGAGCTTTTGTTATAAAAGAAGACCACTTGGAACAATAAAACTTTCTTTTCAGATCCAGTATTTTAAAAGGGAAAAAAATCCCTTAAATCTCATCTTGGTTCAGCCTCATAAGGTTGAGTAACAGACATAATGCAGTCCTGTGACAAAGCTTGGGATTTCCAGGTGAAAAATTGGCTAGTGTCATTGACGATTAATATACCACAGGAAAAGGGCACAGTCACCACCAGTAGGGTCTTTGTCTTTTATGAATGCAAGGATCAGTGAATACGTGCTTCCGAGTTTGTAAAGGGTGCTCTTTATCTCAGATGTTCTGCCCATGCAGAGGAGCAAAGAAGAAAGCTTCCTACCCAGGCAGAGCTTGGATTTGTCAGGTGTGATTTATGGCTATTTATTTTAGTTGCTATATGAGTAATCAATTTTTTTCCCTTGACAGTCTATACTACTATTTCTTTTGCCAAGTTTTTAATAATGAAAAGAACTGGCTTTGAAAATTGAAATGCCTCCAGCAGTGTATGTGAATGTGCCTGGAAAGAAATAAAGAAGAGGAAAGGATTTCTCTAGAGGAGGAAACTGTGTCTGTTTTGACTTTCTGTTTCCTAGCACTTGAGACATAATAAGTGCTGAAAAAATGCCATCAGGTAAGTGAAAAAGTACATGTTACCTGGTATTGTCATTATAGAATGGTAGTAATGCATTATAGAATGGTAGTAATGCAGCAAACATACCCATTGCAATTATTTGATAATTCACAAATAGGATCAATGAAGGTCTGACAACTTTTCTACCCCTGGAATAGATCTTCTGTCTGCAAACTCAGGGTTCTTTGGTTGTAAACATATTCATTGGCAGAAACATATTCATTGCAGGGAAAATGGTAGATTGGTTACTGCTATGGACTGAATGTTTGTGTGCCCCCCCCAATTTATATATTGAAGTCATAAACCTCAATGGGACTGTATATGGAGGTAGAGCGTTGGTAAAAGTAGTGTGTCATAAGGTTACAGCTCTGATCTGATAGGATGAGTGTCCCTTTAAGAAGAGAAAGAAAGACCAGAGTTCACCCTCTCTCCTTGCATGCACTGAGGAAAGACCACGTGAAGACACAGCAAGCAGGAAGCTCTCGGGGCACGCTGGGAAGAGAGAGATTACTAGAACCAGTTTGGCCAGCACCTTGATCTCAGACTTCCCTGGCTCTAGAACTGTGGGGAATAAATTTCTGTTGTTTTCAAGGCTCTCAGTCTATGACATTTTATTATAGCTGCCCACACAGATGAATACAGTCACAGAGTAGCAAAAGTAATGGTGTAACTCACAATCTTAAAGGAAGAGACGTAGGAAGTCTAGCCTCAGGGAAAGCCACCGAGACTTGCTCAGTCAGGCTCTCTTTTTGTGTGTGTGCTGGTGCCTGCTTGACTTATCCTATTGAGAGACTGTCCCTATGGTGGAAAAAAACCACTCACACTCAGATTTACATACTATTCCAGCAATCCCAACAGGAAGTTCTGTTTCCCATGTCTGAAAATCAGCCCTGGAGAAGGACTCTGATTAGCCCTGCTTAGAACAGGGGCTCACACTTTAGAATAAATGTTTCTCATTGAGAGGATAATTCGTTATTGACAAGGTTGCATGCCCATTGCTGTCACCGTGTAGAGAAGAGCCAGGCACGACCCCATCAAAACTCTGCATAAGGGGTTAGTGGTGGTGTTAAAGGAAAGGAGGAATAAATATGAAAGGACGTGGTCCACTTCATAGAGGCTGGCAGCCATATCTGTGATTTGGGGCAATCAAAGCATCTCCAAATTAATGCTCAGGGACTCAGAATCAAGTCCTCTTTTGACTAGTACAACTCTGATGGGCTTCCCATTTTCAGAAACTAGGCTTTTGTCTAGTTCCTGAAATCAAGTTGTCATCCTGTACTTGGGTTGTGAGTGTTTTAACGCGTTTTATCCCCATTTCCATAGGCTATGGCAGGAGCACATCTCCAGTATTCCTAGGTCCTCTTGACTTGAAATTTGTCAGGAAGTAGAATTCCATGGTTGGATCTACTCCTTTGAGATCAGTTTTCTGCCTTTTTGATTCCCGAGCATCATTTGCTTCTGGATTCCATATTGCCATGCTATGTCTACAGTATGTTTATTATAAAAACCCATTTTCCTCACGTTAGCCTCTGTGAAGTTGGCTGATACCCTGGAGTAATACTTACTACAATATCTGACCACGCCGGAGGAGGACTCTGCAAATCTGCAGTGTCGTTGAGGTTCACCTTTTTGTAGGTGCATTGACTCCAGATTCCTCTCAGTCCTTCTCTGCCTGTAATAGATTTACCTGAGATAGAAGAAACACCATTTATAACTTTTACAGCATGTATGCCTTAACTTTTGATATTCACATTTTATGTAGTTTCCTCTAATATTAATTCTGGGCTTTGGCCAATGGGACATGAACGAACATGACACAAGCAGAGGCTTGAAAATAATTTGTATACTGGGGTATTGTACTCTTGGGCTGTTCAATCTTGGATTCCTGAGGCACTAAATAAAGATGTCTGGCTGTGCTCTTGGAGAGACTATGTGTGTGTGTTGCGGGGAGAGAGAGAGGGGGAGAGATGGATGCTAGGACAACTGGAACGGTTCCACTGGTTCCATCCATTCTAACTAAAGTACCATACTGGCAAAAGAAGCTATCTTGGATAATCTAGCCCCAGAAGAAATGCCAACTAAAGACTACTTAGATTGCAGAATTGTGAGAAACAAGGAATCATTATTGTTTTAAGCCCCTAAATCTTGCAATGGTTTATCGTACATGAGAGATAATGAAACACACTGCTTTTTGTCAAATTTGGGGATGCCAGTCTTTTGTCTTTGCCCTGCCTTGGTTCCATTCCAGAAGTCAGGATGAGCACTCAGTTACGAGCAGACATTCCTGCCACATTTCTGATGCAGTGAGGAGGTAGGGTGTCAATGAATCAAGAACCTTCCCTCTGCAGTGGAGCTGGGAAAATTCAAGTCTGTTTTCTGTCCAATGGTGGCAACATCTGTCTGTCTTGTAGGCTGTGAGATGTTGTCTCTTACAGCTTTAGTGCGTTCATACAGTGGTTGAGAGAATTTAATGCAATGATGGACATGAAGCATCAGGCTGAGACTTGGTAATCTATCTGTAGTGGCTGTCATGTTTATCAATCTTTCTTCTTTCTTCTCAGGTTTTATAGACTCTTGAATTTTCTCTGTGGCCCTCAGAATGCAGATACCTGACTAGGGGTTTGCCATTGGGATGAGCCTGTGTCTCCAGCTATCTGACTGGGGATTTCAGTCTTCTGAGTCTGACTTTGTAGGCACAACCTTTCTAGAAGGTCTGTCCAGGAAGCTGCTGCTGCTGTTGTTGTTGTTTCCAGCTAATTTCTCTCCACACTTCTGGAACCACACTCCCACCATGTTCCCCTAGATGCGCTCTTCCTTCACGCTTCTGCTGCCTGTTCTGTAATCAAAGCGAACGCTGAAGTCCCATGTCTGGACTTCATCTTTTAGTAACCAATAGATCATTACCATATGGATTTGGCTACTTTCCCAGCTCTGGTTGTTTGGCTACGGCTGTGACTCCCAGCCGTGTTGCACGCTACTCATGGAAATTATTTATGTGATTCAATGGCCTCACTCTCATCTGAAATATGATTTTTGACCGATTCACCCATAGCTCTGAAATATGTTATGGAAAGGTAATTGCCTAATGCCCATGTAATAGCTATCTCCTCTTTGGGGGATTAGGTATCGAGAATATTTGAAAGAAATGAGCTGGCTAATGCATAATATGATTATTAAATTTTTTCCAAAGGTTATACTAGTCGAATATGCAATCTCAAATGATATTTAATTAAAAGTTAGAATTTCTAGTCCATGGTGTTTGGAGCATCAGAATTTTTAATTAAACCTGTCTTTGCACTGGTAAATTTTCAAGGGTTATTAACCAACAACACAATTTTTTAAAAACCTGATTTTTCAATCAAGCCACTAACTAACTTTGTGCCTTTAAGTAGGTCACTTAACTTCTCTGGGCTTCAACCTGATCACTTATGAAAGAAAATGTTACGTATACCAATAAATTTGGATGAAATCCTAAAAAATTCAAACCTAAAAAGAAATAGAAAGCCTCAATACTTTTATAATCATTATGTTAGTCTGCTGAGGCTTCTATTAAAAAAAAAAATATCACAGTCTACGTGGCTTAAACAACAGGAATTTATTTTCTTGAAATTCTGGAGGTTGGGAAGTCCAAGACTAAGGTGCTGCTCCTGGTGAGAATCATTCCTGGCTAATAGACAGCTGCCTTCCCACTGTACTTTCACATGGCAGGAAAAAAAATTAGCTGTTTAACAGCCCTTACAAGTACACTAATCCCTTAGGATCAGAACTCTACCCTTATGACATGATTTAACCTTAATTACTTTCTTACGCCAGATACAGGCACACCGATTGGTAGGCCTTCAACACATGCATTTGGAGGGAACATAAGTCAGTCCATAGCAATCACTAAATTGCTAGAAAAATACAAGGAAAATATTAAGAAAACAAGGAAAATATAGTTTCTGTGAAACTTTAAATGAAAAGCTCATTTTATTTTTAAAGATTTTATTTATTTATTGAGAGAGAGAGAGCATGAATGGGGGGGGGGAGAGGATAGGGGAGAAGCAGACTCCCCCTGGAGCATGGAGTCTTACGTGGGGCTCAGTTCCAGGACTATGAGATCATGATGTGAGCCAAAGTCAGATGCTTAACCAACTGAGCCACCCAGGTGCCTAAAAGTTGATTTTAAGCTTACATGAACTCTTAGAACCCAGGAAAAGGGTGAATATTTCCCACATCATTTAATGGAGCTAAATGGAACCTTCATTGCAAAATCAAGTGAGTATAGCCTGAGAAAGAAAATTATCTACAAATCTCCCTTGTGAATATAAATGTATGAATTGTAAAAAAAAAAGAAAATCATTAGCAAACCATATCCAACACTACATAAAATGATAATATAAACAAGTTTTTGAAAAAAGTTTATGTATTTATTTGTCAGAGAGAAAGAAAAAGAGAGCACAAGCAAGGGGAGTGGCAGGCAGAGGGAAAAGCAGGCTCCCTGCTGAGCAAGGAGCCCAATGCAGGATTTGATCCCAGGACACTGAGATTGTGACCTGAGCTAAAGGCAGATGCTTAACCAACTGAGCCACGCAGGTGCCTCTATAATAAACAAATTTAGTCTAATAGAGAAATCTGAGAGTGGTTTAATATAAAAAAAATCTGCAAATGTCACTAATTAACAGATGAATGTGGAAGGTAATATATAACCACCTGAAAAAAAATGCAGACCTTTTTTTTAAACATTTAATTTTTTTAAAGATTTTATTTATTTATTATTATTTTTTTTATTTGACACACAGAGATCACAAGAAGGCAGAGAGACAGGCAGAGAGAGGGAGAGGAGGAAGCAGGCTCCCCACTGAGCAGAGAGCCCGATGTGGGGCTCAATCCCAGGACCCTGGGATCATGACCTGAGCCGAAGGCAGAGGCTTAACCCACTAAGCCACGCAGGCACCCCCGGACTTTTTTTTTTTTTAATCAGCATCCTTTCATGAGAAACACTTTAGTGAAAAATGACTATAAAGAAATTTTCTTAACTTAAAGATACCTAACAAAAATTGAATGCAAATATCCTTCTTCATAAAGTGTTTGAAGCATCTATTTAGAAATTAGAAATTGGGAATTATTTAGAAATTTAGAAATTAGGAATAAGATACCGATGCCCATGTCACCTTTTCTGGAGGGCCTAGCTAGGGTAAGAAAACATATTGGACAAAATGCCTAAGAATTGGAACTAACAAATCTGTAAATGATGAGGTGCTGTGATTGAATACATAGAAAATGCAAAAGAATCTATGGTGAAATTATTAAAAACAACACAGGTGTTTATCTAAAAGTGGAGTCTGAGAAAGGTACTGGGATGCATGGCTTGTTTTGGGTGGTGACCTCAGGAAGTTGCAGTGAAGTGGCTGGAAGAGGGGGACCAGGAGTGAGAGAAGCCAGACACAGTGTGTTATCGAGTTAGCTATGGCTGCGGACAATTGCATTTTCATCCCACTGATGACTCTCTGAAGGTCTGTGTCGACTGTGACTTAGAACTATCCCTCCAAATGTGGGATGTTGGTGGAGAGTCTCCAAAGTGTATGTCTGAGGTAGGATACTGGCAGGATATACATCAAATTGCCCACCATTCTTTTGCTAAAATTGGAAGCGGGATGACAAAATGTGGTTGGTGCAGAGCCCCAAGCATCTGTTGCAGTGACTGGATATAAGACCACTATAAAAAATAAATTGGATTTCTACATACAAAAATAAACAGAACACATAATTAAAATAATTAAATACTATATAATGTTAAGTTATATATTATGTTATATATTATATATATTATTAACATAATATTATATCATTATGTTAAATAATTAACATAATTAAAAATATGTGCTAGACATGTATAGAGCAAGTTATAAAAATTATAAACTTCCTTGGAAGTCCATGTATGGCTAAATGAGTAGAAAGATTTACCATTTTCATGGAAAATAAATCCATAGTGTAATGATATAAATTCCCCTCAAAGTGATCCATAGAAGGGCAATCCTGTCAATATATCATGCAGTGTTTTAAAAAAATACTTCGTATGGATTTGCTTTTTTTTTTGTCTTCCCCAACATAATGAATGTTAGGGGATTTATAACAAAGTAACTTGATAAGGTGGAAAGAATATGCACTTTGGAATAAAACTAAACATTATTTTTAGTGCTGTTGCTAGAAAATACTTAACCTCAGAGAAATCATTCATTTTATGAAGGAAGGAGTAATGCCTAAACTCAAAGAATTAGGAGGACTAAATGAAAACAGAACAAAATGATTAAGTGAGAACATAAAGAAAGTGCCTGGCACATACTAGGCATTTAGGAAGTTTTCAATCTCTTTTCCTTGAAGACAGGCTTCCATTTTATAGTTCTCAGTATTTCCATTCTGTGGTCAACAAACTCACAAAATTAGAATAGATTTTTACCAGGTGTGAAACTTTCTGGAGAATAGAGATATCAAGGGAAGAAGCATTAGCTTGAAATGTCTGTGTTCCCTTGACAACTGGACCTCTTTTTCCTACTTTACTATCACCTAAATCCCTGTTGTCACTTTCTTTATGATGTTCTTTTAGACATTCTTCTTTTTTTAAAATTTAAATTCAATTTAGTTAACATATAGTGTATTATTAGTTTCAGGGGCAGAATTTGGTGATTCATCAGCTGCATATGACACCCAGTGCTCTTTACCTCAAGTGCCCCGCTTAATGCTCAACACACACTCCCTACCTCTATGACCCTATCCCTGCCCACCTCCCCTCAGTTTCTTTCCTAGAGTTAAGAGTCTCTTATGGTTTGTCTCCCTCTGTGTGTTTTTTTTTTTTTTTTTGAGATTTTATTTAGTTATTTGACAGACAGAGATCACAAGTAGGCAGAGAGGCAGGCATAGAGAGAGGGGGAAGCAGGCTTCCCACCGAGCAGAGAGCCCGACGTAGGGCTTGATCCCAGGACCCTGGGATCATGACCTGAGCCGAAGGCAAAGGCTTAACCCACTGAGCCACCCAGGTCCCTCCCTCTGTGTTTTTATCTTATCTTATTTTTCCTTCCTTTCCCCTAAGTTCATTTGTTTTGTTTCTTAAATTCTGTATCTGAGTGAAATCATATGGTATTTGTGTTTCTCTGACTGACATTACACTTAGCATAATACCTTCTAGTTCCATCCACGTCATTGCAAATGGAAAGGTTTCATCCTTTTTGTTGGCTGAGTAATACATTCTTGATTTTAAAGTAACCAGTTCTATCAATCTTTTTCTTATGCTTAGTGCTTTTTTGGGTCTTATTCCATAAAATACACTAATTATGACAGCTTTATAATAAATCTTGATGTCCAGGAGAACAAGTCTCCTGTATTATTCTTTTCAAATATTCTTGGGCCTTGGATCATTCATGTTAATTTTAGAATCAATTTGTGAAGTTTCTCAACAAACTATGTTAAGATTTTGATTGATATTACAGTATTCTGTAGGTTAATTTAAGTTGAATTTACATTTTTTAGAATATTGAGCTTATCTATCTGTGAACATAGAACAAATCTAATTTATTCAGCCTTAATGTTTTTTACAAAATGTTTTATTTTTTTTTTAAGTTAAGTGTTGAGTTTGTGGGTGTGAATTGTGGGGCTCTGCTTCATAACTTAAAGATATGCATTATGTATCAAATGTAATCTTCTTAAAAATGAGGAAATATGCCTTACATGGAATATAGCCATTAAAATTGATGGTAAAGTTACTGATATGGAAAGATCCCCAGCATCTTAATAAGGAAGAAATGCCTTTTTCATAATAGCACATGTTTTAGGTCAATGCCATTTATTAAATGCAAGCAAAATGATGAGTGTAGAATAAAGAGAGAAATTTGAAATCTATTGAACATGCAGAATTGAAATCAAGAGTCAGGTAGAGAAGCACTTTGAAAATGATGAAGTAAGAACATTTGACAATCCCTTCCTCCTTCCAGAAAAGCAACAAGAACACTGACGAAAATGGTCAAAATTAGAATGTACAGAACTCTGGAAATGACAGGATTGCAGCATGTGAGGAATGTCTGTTCCAGAAAGTCAGCTGGATCACGGTGAGAATATTGAGCTTTATGGTATCTTAACTTGCACTCACCTCTCTCTCTTTTTTAGATTTGCAATAACTTTGAAAACTGACACCCTGACACCGGCAAACTAATGGCTAGTGAAGAGGGTGATACGGGTTTGGAACTCTCTAAAAGTCCCGTTCCTAGAAATTTGACATTATTTGTCCTCTCCGGTAGCTCACTAAAAATGTCTATTCCCATAGCTTGTCTTTATATGCCTTCAGGACTCACTCTGCGTCGATAGTCCTCTCCCTGGAGTGAACCAACAGCAACTGTTTAACACTGGCCAGGGTGGTAAATAACCAGTTAGGGCTAAAAAATGCAGCAGACAGCACTTAAAGGAAAAAGCTGAGAACGAGATGTCCACGCGGCATGAGCATGGATGTGTGCAAGCCTACGAAAGGCATGAAAAGGCCCTTGTTTCTCTGACCTCAAGGCTAGGAAGGCTGAGGAAGAGTTGTACACCGCCTGCCAGAGCTCGGGAGGCTTGCCCCGATACATGCACAGAACCTTCCAGCACAGACAGAGACACTTCCTGATTCAAGGCATGTAAGGAAATCTCTGTCCAGTCTTTAGCTGACCATTAAGTTACTCAAGTAGAGACTTCAGTGGCCCCATGTAACAAAGGATACAAACTTCACAGGACTAATTTCACTGAACAGGCAACAGCAACAAACCTTGGGCAGGGAGGATCAGATTTTTATAAAAGTAAATAAGCATGTCTCTTAAAATACCTAGTTTTTAAAGAAAATTAAGAAATATGCATAGAAATAAGAAAGTATGGCCCATACGCAGAAAAAAAATGCCATCACTAGACACTACCCCTAGGAAAACCAGACATTTTTACTACACCAAGATCTTATTTTATTTATTTAAATTCAAGTTAGTGAACATGTAGTGTATTATTAGTTTCAGGGGTAGAATTTAGTGATTCATCAGCTGCCTATAGCAGCCAGTGCTCATTATATCACATGCCCTCTGTAATGTCCACCCCCCAGATAACCCCACCCACCTCCTCTCCAGCAACCCTCTGTTTGTTCCCTACTGTCAGGAGTTGTTTATGGCTTGCCTCTCCTTCTCTTCTCCTGTGTTCATCAGTTTTATTTCTTAAATTCCACATATGAGTGAAATCATATGGTATTTGTGTTTCTTTGACTGACTTATTTCACTTAGCATCATACTCTCTGGTTCCATCTGTGCCTGCAAATGACAAGATTTCATTCTTTTTGATGGCTGAGTAATATTGCACATTCACCAAAAAATAAGCTATTTTAAATATGATCAATGAGCCAAAGGTAACCATGTCTAAAAAACTAAAGGAACAAATGAGAACAATGTCTTGCCAAATAATGAATATGAATAAAGAGAAATTATCTAAAGGAACCAAATTCTGCAGTTGAAAAGTACAATAAATAAAATGCTAAATTCACTAGAGGGGCTCTGTAGCATATTGAACAGGAAAAAGGATAAGGCAGAGAACTTGAAGATAGATTGATAGAGGTTATGCAGTCTCAGGAACGGAAAGTAGAAAAGAATGAAAAAAGATGAACAGAAATTCAGCGGTCTGTGTGATATCACTATATGCATAATGGAAATCCCCAAAAGAAAGGAGAGAGAAAACGGAGAAGAAAGAGTATTTGAAGAAATAGTGATTAAAAACTGTCAAGTTTTGAAATCCCCCAGACAGAGAATCTTAAAAGCAATAAGAGAAAAGTGACTCATCACATACCGGGGATTATCAGTAATGATCAGCTGACTCTTCTCATCAGGAACCATGGACATCAGGGGCGCCTGGGTGGCTCAGTTAAGCATCTGCCTTGGGCTCAGGTCATGATCCCGGAGTCCTGGGATCGGGCCTGATGTCATGCTCCCTGCTCGGTGGGGAGTCTGCTTCTCTCTCTGCCTTTGCCCCTTCCCCCACTCATGCTCAATGTCTCTTCTCTCTCTCTAAAAAAAAAAAAAAAAATCCTTAAAAAAAAAAGTGGAACCACGGACACCAGAAAGCAGTAAAATGACATATTTAAAGTGCTGAAAGAAAAAGACTATTAACCAAGATTTCAATATCCAGCAAAACTATGATTCAAAAATGAAGGATAAATTAAGACATTTCCAGATAAACAAAAGCTGAAAGAATTTGTTGCTAACAGATCTCCCCTACAAGAAACACTAAAGAGTGTACATCAGACGGAAACAAAAGGATAATAGATATTATAGGTAATATATTCATATTATATATAATAGGATATAATAGTACTATGAATCAACAAGAAGATAAAATAGTAAAGATAACTACGTAGATAAGTATAAAAGACAGTATAAGTGTATTTGTATCTGTAATTTTTTTTTCTCCTACTGAAAACTGCATGACAATAATTATAATATTGTGTCACTGGACTTACAGTGTATAAAGATGCAGTTTTTATGACAACAGCACAAAGGAGGTGGGGTTAAAGCCATATTGCAGCAAAGCTTTTGTATACTACGGACTATGTGCTTATCTAACTAGAAGATTATAAGTTAAATTAATTTACTAATTACTAATATCACTCAAAAAATCATAAAAGAGACAAGATAATTAAAACCGTACACTAGGAAAATCCCTGTGAAGCACAATAGAAACAATGATGGAGGAAAAGAGAAACAAAAAAAGATACATACTTACAGGAAACACATAGCAAAATGACAGAAATGTATCTTGCCTTTTCAGTAATTATATTAAGTGTAAGTGGACTGAACACTCCAACCTAAAGTCACAGAAATGAATAAAAAATATAATCCAACTGCGTTCTCTGTATAAGAGGCACAATTTGGATAGCAAGATCAAATAGGTTAAAAATAAGAGGATAACCAAAGATACCATGTAGACAATACCCGAAAGATGGCTGATGTGGCTTTATTAATATCAGCAAAATAGAGTTTAACAACAGAAGAGTGTGACCAGAGAAAACAAGGCTATTTATTGCCCTTTTTAAGTGGGTCAGTCCATCCCCAAATTATTGGAGTGCAGGAAAATCAATGCTTAGAGGGAAATTTATTACTGTGGTTATAAATTTATGGCTGAAAACTAATAAATAAGTTGGCAAGGTTGCCGGGTACAATATCAGCACAGAAAAATCAATCGTATTTCTATGCACTAGCAATGAATAATTCAAAATAAAATTAAGAAAAGCAATTAAAATATTAAGGAAATGAAGAAAACTCTATTTACAATGGAACAAAAAAGAATAAAATACTTAGGAATAAATTTAACAAAAGAACAAAATTTTAAAAATATATATTTTTCTCTTTTTTTAAATAAATGTATGAGATGATGGATATTAACTTAGTGTGGTGATCATTTCACAATATATGTAAGTCAAATGATTGTTCCAAACACCTTAACCTTATACAGTGCTGTGCGTCATTTATATCTCAATAAAAGTAGAAAAAAGAAGTATATACACTGAAAACTAACAGACTGTTTTAAGAAGTAGTGGTAAGAATGTGGAGACACTGCATCCTTACCCAAGAGCACTGAAACACATCCATACGAAGACTCGCACACAAATGTTCATACCTGTGATGCACGTAAGACTAAAACATGGAAACAACTCCTATAAATATAGAAATAAAATGTATTATATTCATATAATGGAATATTATTCAGCTGTACCAAAAATGGTGTACGATTCGAGCTACAACATGCATAAGCCCAGAAGCCGTTACGCTAAGTGGAAGAAGTCGGTCACCAAAAGCACGTTATATTGTATGTCATTGCTTAGTTCCCATCTATATGGAATGTCCAGAATACGCAAATTCTTACAGACAGAAGATACCTTAGTTGTTGCCATGGGCTGGCGAGGGAGGAGAATAGGGAATGACCGATAGGTGTAGGGTTTCTTTGGGGGTTGATGAAAATTTTCTTGAATTAGATTGTGGTGATTGTTGCACAACTCTATGAATAGACTGAAAACCACTGACTTGTACGTATTAAGGAGGTGAGTTTTAGCTTATGTATATTGTGTCTTAATAAAGCTGTGATTTTAAAAAAGATGCATTCCAAGGTCCTCTTCAGGCCTGATGCTTTCTTTTAAGGCACATGACCCAAACGTAACAGTTAGCTATAGCAAACCTAATTAATCGCAGAATCGTCCAGGAAAGGAGGTTTCAGATTTTCGATACCCACAGAGAATTTCTTGCAGGTATTTTGTGTGTACGAAAGCTGCTTGAAAGTCCTTCGCTGCCAAACCAGACCAAAGGAGTGACTGCGGTTGGTGGGCCTGACTCATTGCCTGGTCCCAGAATTGGAAAATCACTGCCTGTTGCCTATTTAAAAAAAATGTACAGATTCCATGCCCCTTGTTATGCTCAAGTTCATCTCTGCTCAGATGAAGAGTTTCCTATGGTTGCATCTGGGCGTTTCTGGGCCCCAGGCTCTGGGACCTCTTGAGAGGGAAGAGCTCTTACAGGATAGCATAATGAACTTGAGTGATACAATAGAAAATTGTACAGCCTTTAAAAAAGCAACTTATTATATTAAAATGTACGGTAAAAATAGTATGTGTACTTTTAAAAATATTCAACAAGTACAGAAGAAGAGTCCTACTTTGTCACAAAAACCACATTTTTGTGTTACTCTGCGGGACATTTGCCTTTGTGCCCTCGGATCCTGTCTCTCCTCTGTTCTGTATTTGCGGGGAGCTCACTTCCCACCCTCTGGCTTATCCTCAGGTTTCTGGGAAGGTTTCCCTGATGGAATGTGCTGGCGGGACCCTGGGTGGTACCCCCTTGGCTTCAGGTGGCATTTCTAAGGCAGGTGCCTCTCCTCTGTGGTCCTGTACCCTCTCAGGAGCCCATCACGGTCCCAGCTTCTCCGTGGTGGCTCTGGCACCTGGGATTTGGTTCTCCTCCCGCCCTGGGGTCATTGCAACTTCCTGGGTTTTGCTGGACTCAGCAGCTTCTCACCCCGCGCCATTTTGCATCTGAGCTTTTCCCATCGTCTGGTCTGC